TTTATTATATCTTATTAGATTGAATTTATAAATAACTAATATATATTTAAGTATTTCCTCTTTGCCTCACATATCATATCAATACTCAGAAGTTTATACTAAGAAGATAATTTGAATTTGAAGAATTTTTTTAAATGTCTTATCTGGCTATAGAACTTCTAGCCTCAATTTATTTTATTTCATTTTAGATAGATATGAACTAGAATTTTTTAGAAATCTCAAAATTCCAATTCAAAATATTTTATCATTAATCCTAATTTAGGATATATATCACCCAGGGAAATTGTTACTTGATGTTGTTCTTGCTAGATAACCCAAAAAATGTCAAATTAATATTACCATTTTCAAAACAATCTATTGAAATCAAAATACACAGCATTAAGGTTTGTTTACTTTTTGAGGCTTTATGAAACAGATTTTATTATGAAAGTTATTTGAAAAGTAACCCACTGGGAAATTCTTATCTATTTTTAATTATTCTTTTGATAAACTGTTTCATAAACCCATATCATGCCTTAATTCTAACTAATTAGCATTGAATAGTTCTACATTTAATCCTCAAAATAGTTGTGAGTTGTTTCTTTTCTATTACATTTCTACTTTCCCTTTTTCTAACTTCTTATTTCCATGGCTGGGCAGAAATCCAAGGGTAGTTAAGCAGAACTATTTAGTTCTATTTGAGTCAAATCCGATCAACTTCATGAATAAGACTCTTTGGATCCAAGCATCCTCAATATCTTGCCCTTATGTTGTTGATTTCCCTAGAGAGCTGGTTGAGTAGAAAACTAAGAAAGCAACTAACATGAGTCCGAAGAGATGTGCCCAGCATTATGCCCATCATTTTCCTATTATTTAAACATAGGCTTTATTTTTAAATATCAATAAAATGATTATTAACTCAGAAGGTATTTAATCACTAATATCACTTAACCAGTTATGTTAGAAAGCCCAGCAGGAAGTAACTAAAAGAAAGGAAATTATTTTGCAAAAAGATTACACATTTTCAGAAGAAACACCCATTTTTCTCCAGAATGATAGTTCTATGGTGATTAAGTTTCAAAAATGAGGAAATATTCTACCATATTCCATAGTGGTATATCAATAGCAGGGTAATCTGAGTTTTCCTGAGTGGTGCTGCAAGAAATTTTGAGGTTGAACATGGTCCAATTTTAAGTCCTCCATATTTCAGATATAGGAACTGATTTTCTTAGAGTAACCTAGAATGGATGACTTCTTTTTTAAACTTATTTTGATAACTTTAGGAGGTACAATGGGTTGATGTTTTTACATGAATTAATTGTATAGTGAAGCCAGGGCTTTTTGTGTCTTAAAGAGAGGTTAATGCAAACTAACTTTAGATGATAAAATAGCCAGGACAGCTGCTAATTATATTTTAAAGGATGTTATCTTTTTGTATGACAAGATTTCTCACATCTCCAAGGCAGAATCAAGTCTTTGGAGAAAGTATATTATAAGAAGGTTTTTTTGTTTTGTTTTGTTTTTTGGTATAACCTCAAATCAAAGAAAGTACTATGGTTTCAGTGTGGCATGGTTTTGTGTTTGGGAAAGTCCAGTGACATAAATATTTCCCTCTATTCTGCAGTGTTTGAGTTTAGTGTTTGTCTTTGAATAAGATTTGCTGTATATCTGTTCATTTTCATGTTTAAATTGCTTATTTCATTTAACTATAAATTATAGTTATTATTAGAGCAAACAATGTACAACAGTCAATTCCTTTTTAGATGTTATTTTTAACTAATGAGCTCTTAAATTTCTTGGGGTGCTCTGTAGTCTCATTCTACATGGTGCTATTAATATCTTCTGCCATATTTGTGCATGAGTATCCACGGGTTGTTAGAAGATTTCACACTGTAGCAATATGTTTTACCTACCTTTTTTAAAAGTGAGAGGTATGGGTTTTGATTGCAATTACACTTATACTCTGTTCTTGAAACTATGATGAATTTTGTATTATTTCCATCACCACAAACGCTTATTCTATATTTCTACATAACTTTTCATCTTTTCCTCATACTAAAATGGAAGAATTCCTACGCTATTTTCTATGGGAAATTGCTAAATTTGTGCTCTGGAATTCAATCCTTCTCACCTTTTCATGAGTTTTTACCATTTTAGATAGTCCCCACTTTCAAAAGGATTACTACCTTCAGCAAAGACAATGCTTCATATATCTCATATCAGAAAATAAATAATTTGTTGGATTCACTTCTCTGATGACACTGTATCATTCGATTGTCGTGATTCATGGGCTTTATATATTCACATACAGTATACTCTTGTGTTCACTGTAATTAAACTCCAATCCTTTGCTATTTCACTGAAATTACTTTTGCCAAGATAACAAGCTAACTAATACTGCCCATCCTGTCAAATCTAATCAATCCTTACTAACCTCATGTAACCTTGGGAAAGAATTCACTATGTTTGTCAACTCCTACCCAGAAAGACTATTCTTTCTTGCTTTCCATGCAATCTCACACTCCCAGTTTTTCTCCTCCCTTGTGCTGCTCCTCTCCTTTGGCTTTTACCTTCTCGCTCACCTTTAAAAAAAAAAAAAAAAAAAAAAAAAACAGGGTCTTGCTCTGTTGCCCCAGATAGAGTGCAGTAGTGCAGTAGCACCATCATAGTTCACTGCAACCTCAAACTCCTGGGCTCAAGTTGTCTTCCTGCCTCAGCCACCCAAGTAGCTGGGATCATAGGCACATGCCGCTATGCCCAGCTAATTTTTCTATTTTTTGTACAAATGGGGTCTTACTCTTGCTCAGGCTGGTATCAAGCTCTTGACCCCAAACAATCCTCTCAGCTTGGCCTCCAAAAGTTCTAGGATTACAGGTGTGAGCCGCCACACCAGGCCTGGATTTTACCCTCTCTTATACAGAAGGTGAGCTGCTCTAGACTCAAAAAGTTCTAGATTCAACATTCATTACACTTTCTAGAATACAGTATAAGTGTAATTGCAATAAAACACCACATCTCTCATAGGCATAATGTGTTAAAATGCTTTAGTGCTCAATCTTTTATTTCATTTTCTCTTATAATCCTCTTTCATATGAAATTGTGCTGTTCCCATTACCTTAAATTTATGCTGATCTATCTCAAATTTACATTTCCTGTTCAGAAAACATCCTTGCACTCCATACATATTTAATCTCTGCTTTTTTTCCCACATGTTTATCTAATGGACATCAATGGCATAATATGTAAAAATCATGAATTTCTCCCAAACTGTTTATTCTCAACTCTTTTTTCCATCTCAGTAAATGGAACTATCAATTACATAGTCGATGAAGTGCACATACACACACACACACACACACACACACGAATGGAGTCATCTATGCTCTCTCCCTTTTACTAATTCCACTCCAACAAAAAGTTCTATAGGTTGTACCTAATTTATACTACTATTTTATACAGTTCTTTCCATTTCCTTCTATTTTTTCTATCTTTGCCTAATAAGACATCATTTCTTTTCCAAATTGTTGTTAACTCTCTATAATCCAAGATTCAAAGTAGCTACTGTGACTTTTTTCAGAATATAAAAGATCTGTTATTTCCTTTATTTAAAATTCTTCTCATTGCTTTTCCAATATAGTAAAAACTATTTTTAGGTGCTTACTATATGGCTTGCTTATCCTAACTCCTGGCCATCTACCTAATCCACTCTGTGTAGCCACATTGACATTCATTTGTTTTTAAACCACTTCAAGCTTTTTGTTTAATTTGGATCTTTACACTTTGGTTCTTCTATTTCAAATATTCTTCCCTTAGCGTTTTTCACCCAATCATTTCACTTTTTCTTTCAGGACTAGATGAAATGTTACTTTAGGTGAGACTTAAAAAACAAAGAAAAAGTGTTTGAGGCTTAAGGGGAAAAGAGAACCTTTCCTTCCTTATATAGTTCTAGAAATATTCTGGAATTTTTCTAGAACATATGGTAATTGTTTACTATATTATGTTTTCATATGCATGTTAAGTAGCTATCCCTGAATAACATATAACCCCCAAACTTAAGAGCATAACAAAGTCATTTATAACTACAGTGTATGTGCCTCTGAGTTAGCTGAAGGCCAGCTAAAATAGGCTGGCTTTTGGCTGCCAACTCTGCCAGTCTCCAGTGCACTTAACCACGCACCTGCACATTGACCAGGTAGCTGTACTGCAGGCTGGGGAGCCTTAACTGAGACAACAGCCACATGACACTTTCTTCCTCTTGGGGGGATAAGTGGATTAGCCCAAGCACGTTCTTCTTGTGGCAGAGGAAACATGCAAAGTCTAATGAAATCTAGGCCCAGAAAAAGGATATCATCGCTTTCAACTCATTCTATTGCCAAAGTAAGCTGGAAGTCAAACCTAATATGAGAGAACTTCGTATAATTATATGAATTGAAGAGGTAAAAGAAAATTGTGACCAATAATTCCACCTACCTCAGTTTATTTCTTATCTCATTTTTTGAACATACAAGGGTTTAGTCAAAAAGTTGATCAAGATATGAAGGTAATATATATAAATGTTTTGTTTTTCATTTTATATTTATCATTAAACCTCAGCTATAATAAAATTCCAAGATAAATTCATCTCTGTCATCTCCAATGATCCTAAAATTTTATATACATGTAGCAAGGAGATGTTTTATTATAGTTTTTTATTTTATTTAAACCTACTATAGACTTCCCAGATGTGGTTTTGTCTTAACATTATTAATCACTGTTTCTACTATCTTCTTTACTCACAGAATTTATTTTTTTGAATTAGTAATTGAACTAAACATTAACTAAGGGCTGACAGAAAAGAATAATGTCTGTAAGTTCTAAATGATATGAAATTGCCATGAAAATCTTGAGTCAAATATAGAAATTAAAAATATACATTTAGATATTTTAACATATCTGATACAATACCCCCCTTGGTTCAGTTGCATTTCTTCAATATAGTATCAAATAAAAACAGATTTATCTTTTTTTATTTTATTTTCCAGATACTTCATCAACTATAATGCTGAAGATGACAGATTTTTCAACATTGATACCAACACTGGAACCATTAAGACTACAAAGGTTCTTGACAGAGAAGAAACTCCTTGGTACAACATCACAGTTGCTGCTTCAGAAGATGGTAAACTACATTATTTTATGTATTGTAGGAAAAGATGTCACTTGCACATGCAGACTTATACTGAGATTTCCTGGAGAGCAGGGCTCTCTCATCATTTTTTTAAAATTTTTTATGTCAAGATGTAGCAAGAGTACACAGAATATATTCGATATAATTACTCATTGTCAGATGCAGTGAATAAATCTCATGTCCTTTTCCTTACTTTAATCCCATCATAGGGATGGAAGATTGGCAACCCAGAACACTTAGTCCTCATTTCTGAGTCAAGGACATTTGGTTCTTCTTCTAATTGTAAGAACTGCGTTTTTCTTTGCTTATGCCTTACTTAAGCCATCGGGATACCTCACGTGGTAGGTTAGGAAAAAAAGAAAGTAATGAGCATATCTAATTGCACTTCAGTTATTTTATAAATATAACACTCCCGTCTAATCTTCAATTAACACTTATAGAACTTATAGTAAAAGAATAATTCTTGGAATGTCAACAGCCAGATCTAAGCACTCTTCAAGAGAAGTATATGACATAAAGCTGAGGAAGGCTCTTGTTCCACCTCCATCTAGAATTTTGTATTGTGGTAAACACCTAAACTCAGAAACAACAATAACAAAAATATGTAAATAAAACAGAAATATTTCTGACTTTGTAGAGGTAGATATGACCATGCTCAAATTAAATTAGAATATAACTTTAAGAAAATGCATCCACTGTCATGACAATAAAGATTTTCTTTATGTATTGGGAAGTAAACCAAAGGTACCAATTAACCTCGTGTTAGAACTATATATGGAAATTATGCCTACATTTAGAAAAGATTTCAATGTATTCATGAGAGAACTGTAAATATATCAGAGATTAAGAATACTTCATACTTGAAACAGTGCTACATAAATTGAAATATTATGTTCTCTTTATTCCCAGAAGGTATAGAATATTAAAATTTTTTAACAGATTCATTGAGTTTTGGTTCACATAGCATGTGGTTTGCCCTTTTAAAGTGTGTAATTCAGTAGCTTCTAGTATACACAGAGTTGTCCATCCATCATCACAATCAGTTTTAGAAACATTTTTATTACTTCAAAAAAATCCTTCATCTCTTACTCCTCAAACCCAAGTAACCCTCTCCACAAGCAAGCAAGGCCTTACTCTACTTTTTCTCTGTAGATTTGCATATTATTGATATTTTATATAAAAAGATCATATTATATGTGTATTTTTATGACTGATTTATTTCACTTAGCATTATGTTTTAAAGGTACATCCATATTATAGTATGAGTCCTCAGTACTTCAGTCCTTTTTATTGCCAACAACTCTTCCATTTTATGGATATATCACATTTCATTCATCCATTCATCACTCGATAGACATTTGTATTGTTTTCACTCTTTGCCTAATATGAGTAATGTTGCCATGAGAATTAAGGTGAAAGTATTTGTATGAAAATGTTTTCATTTCTCTTGGGTGTATACCTAGGAGTCAGATTGCTGGTAACTCCTGTGGTAACTGTATGTTTAACCAATTGATAAACTGCCAGACTGTTTTCCAAAGTGGCTGAACCATTTTATATTTCCAGGTTTCCAATGTCTTCATGTTCTCACCAACATTCATTCCTGTCTGTCTTTTTGATTATAGCCATTCTAGCGGGCGTGAGGTGATATCACAGTGTGATTCATGTGCTTTTATATTGCTCTTTTTTACATAGCAATCACCAGCCTTCTCCAGTCTTTTCTATTCCACCTGTATTTCTTATGTTTTTGGCATCTGAAAAATCATCTAAGGTGGCCTCCATTCAAATCATTTTATTAACATAATATTCTTTTTGAAAATAATCATATGCTACTTAATTTTAAAAGAGTGCTATAAAGAATCCATGAGTGGGTTAATTTGTGATCATTCTGGTTTATTTTCATTTTCAAAATAGCCAGACTAGGCATGAATTTGTGTGTCCTTAGTTACCCAAGGACAAGTAAATGGCTGTTGTATAATGAAGACTCATTAAAATTCAGTTGAAAAGAGAAAGGAATGAATGGGTTAATATATATTTAAAAAAATCAATGGGGACATTGAGCAAATCCTTCAGAAAAGAGAATCAACTCTAAAGATATTTCAATGAGAAGCTATATTTTAGATTAGTTGTTATTCACTATCAGTCCAATTAATATTTGTATCAGGTAGAAACTAATTTATGAATACATATGAGTACATATATATCATAAAAATTAAGCTGTCTGCAATCATTATCACAGGAAATACCTGTTTTTACTAAAGTAACATCCTGATTATATACTTACTAGGTAATTTTATTTTATTTTATTTTTTTACCAAACGCTAATACTTCATATGGGGATTGAGTGAATCTATTACTATATCTACTAAGTACAGTAAATTGTAATTTTTCGAAGTTTAAGTTGGTGATAAAAAACCCTTGGAAACCACTTCAATGAGAATTACTAAAATATAATTTAATCCTAATAATAAACAAGTGTATAGAAAGAATGAGCACTAGTTAAAATTTTATAGCCATGGTGGGATACTGTATTTAGAAGTGTGCACCTGTGCCCACTGGTTGCTTGGCCTAATTGCCTGTTAATATCATTGGGAGCCCTTTCGTGTACAGTTGTTTGTAACCTTAACCTCAACATCAGCCTCATTGTCAAAGTAGTTTGTGATATATTCTTCATTGGAAATGTATTTGATACTTTATCAAATCAGATTTTTAAAAATCTTCTTCATGTAACAGTTTCTGAAGAGCCAGTCGTTCTGTGAAATGACATTTAGTAATTAATGTTCGAAGGAACTCTTGTAGCCTACGTAGGTAGGCATTCCTGCAAATATGAGAAAGATGCCCCCTGTAGGCAGGTGAGGCAATGCATCAGGATTTAAAAGCTAATGATGGCAAAGTTACCTCTGCAAAGAAAAAAAAAAAAACAATGCTCTTTCCTCTTGGTGAATAGTCCTGTGTCAGAGGCCCAGTGTGAGAATACAGGATGTCATAGTTGAAAAGCATGTGAGCATGCAGATGCCACCTGGATGCACTGCAGCTGGTATTTATATGATGTTTGACTTTGACTTCTTCAGTCCTGTGTTCCCAGATAAGAGTTATTATTTGGCCTTCCAGTCACATGGTAAAGACAGGAAATATCTGTCTGGGCTATGATATCTTTTGCTCCTGCTGTCAAACATAACTATTAGCTATCTTGCACTTTTATGGTATACTTTTAAAGATATGTCATCCTAACAAAAATCTCTGTGAAATATACATGACATATTATTCCCATTTTATAGATAAAAGAAACTGAGGCTCACAACAAGATATGAATCTAACTATTCCAGTTCTTAGATCTTTTCTCACTCCAATATGGCCCTCTGGGGAGGCTGATGTTCATGGAGCCAAAGCACTGGTCAGGTATTTTAGCTGACTAAAGCTTATTATTTATTTTTGAATCTCATATTGTGAAGGAAATTTATTTTTACAATTGTAAAGTTGATCCTCTGAATTAGGTAAATTCAGTACGTTGTCTATGGTCAGGGAACAAGAAAGTGTTATATCATCATCACATATCACATTCTTGGGAACCAGTACTTTCTGAATAAATTAAGACTCATTGTACCTGCTGAATATTTCCACTATAGGTAGCAATGTCTTCCTTTCATGTAATCTATAACACAGCTATTTGGTAACTTGTATTACTTTTTTATTGCTGTATAGCAAATAATCATATGATTTCTGTAAGGTCAAAGTCTAGGTGGGTTCAACTAGGTTCTCTACCTAGGATCTCACAAAGCTGAAATCATGTGGCAGCAGAACTGGGCTCTTACATGGTAGCCCTGGAAGTATTACTGAATAATAAACTTTCTCTCAAACTTCCATGCTATGACTCAATTTTTCTTTTGTGCTTTCCTACTATAATACATGTCATTACCCCCATTGTTTTTTAGAACCTGCCAATATAGTCATCAGCAATTGCCTAATAGCCCAATCCAATAAGTACATTTTATCTCTTAACTTCCCCTGATTTATTTGTGACACTTAACCATATTTATAATTAATTTAGTTATATTTATAATTATTTTTTTCTTGGAATTTCTATTTTCTTAAATATCATTCTAGTACTTTAATATGATGTATTTTATCATCTCTATCCTAAAGTATGCTGTGATTAACTCATATAGAATATATGAATAAGCTATGTGGTAGGCCATGTGGTATTTTAGACACTAAGAATATTGAGATGTTATTTTGCCTTTGAGGAATTGAAGAGTCTAATGCGTAAGACAAGGTAAGCAGATAATTGCATTATGGAAAATTACTATGACAACAGAATTTTTAAGGCACTAAAGAAACACAAATCTATTGTAGTTTAATCTCTCTAAGAGGATCAGTGAAGGTTTCATTGAGAGGATAATGCATGGATTCAGTCTTGAGGTGAAGGATGAGTAAAAATTGGCCTGCATATTCTGCTATGGTTCCAAATGTGCCTATATTAGTATATCAATCAGGATTTTCTAGAGAAACAGAGCAATATGGTGTTTGTGAATGTGTATATGTATACGTGTGTGTGCAATGTGTCTCTATATATACATATACAGAGATAGAGACAGAGAGTGAGGGGGAGAGGGATAGATTTACTATTTTAAAAGTTGGCTTACATGATTATGGAAGCTGGTATGTCCAAAATGCATAGACTCAATATTTCACTTTGAGTCTGAATGCTGGCAGGCTGCCATAGAACCAGGAAGAGTTGCTATTCCAGTTTCAAGGCTGTGAGGCAGGAGAATTCTCTTACTCAGGGGTAAGTAAATTGATTGGATGAGGCCCACCAACAATATGAAAGGCAGCTTTCTTTGCTTAGTCTACCAATTTAAATGTTAATCTCATCCAAAAGCACTCTTACAGAAATACCCAGAATAATATGTGACCAAATATCCCTGCACCCCATGTAATTGCCCAGCCAAATTACATGTGAAATTAGCCATCAATGCACCATACACTTTATCACT